TCCCCTCGGAGAAGCCCAAGCCCCTGCGGCTTCCCCCAAGTCCTCAAAGGCCACCGCTCCCGCCCCCGTGAAAGCCAAGTCCCCCACCACCGCCGCTCCGGCTAAATCCCCCTCCGCGTCCGCCAAACCCCCTGTTTCTCCAGCCCCCAAATCCAAGTCCCCGCCTGTCTCGATCGCTCCCTCCACCTCTCCCGCCGCCTCCCCAGCTGTCTTTCCCGATCCCGCCGACTCTCCCGCGGCATCCGGCCCAGTTGCTCCAGCTCCCGCCCCTGAATCCGCCGGAGTTGCCGACCAGAACTCTGGCGCTGTGAAAATTGGAGCTTTTATTGGTGGCGCTTTAGCTGCCTCTGCCTGGATCGCCGTCTCTGCTTTCTAAGTCAAGAACATGAAAGAAGAAATGGAATACCGGAAAAAAGAAAACAGAAACTGATGGGTAGCGGTTTCCTTTCTGCAATCGTTTGTTTGATTTCATTTTTTTTTTTTTTTTTCTATCATTTGAATTGGATTATACGATTTAATTGTATGAGTTGTTGTTTCTGCATTTGTAAGATGGCAAGCGGTCATCCTGCGATATGACTACTGATTATTTTTTTTATAATTTAACTTTGTTTGATTACTGTTCGCGTACTAAGACCATTCCTGAGCATCTGTGGTGAGATCGGCCAAAGTTGAGGAGAGATTATTCTTGCGGCCCGTCGAATGCAATTTATCGTCCGGAGATCAATTAAAATGTGTCACGTTGACGGTATGGAACTCAATACTGAGCAGTACCGAGCAGGGGCGACGTAGCATATTATGGTGGTCTTAGGACAGAGTTCGACGTCCCCACAGAATAATTTCACCAAGTTGAGGGGAGATTATTACGCACAGAGTTTGAAACGGAACTGTGCCCGAATTCTGTGAGTGTACGGAGTTTGGATTGGCCAAGTCAAGGAGACCATTTTGTCTCTTACTTTATAAGATGAAATTGACCCTATAACCTTGAAACAATTTTTTTAGATTTGTAATAAGCTGGATTTGCAAACCGTCTTCACCCTATTTTAAAATATTATGAACTCTAGTTTATTAATATTTTTTCTCCTATTTTAATGAATAGGATCTATATAAAAACATAAGATTGATTGTTCAACTAAGCTTT